AAGAATTAACATCATTAAAAAGGTCCTTAAATGTTTTAACACTGAAATATTTATCCCTTGTGATGGAAAAATCAATACAGTCAAGCAGGACATGCCTGGGACATGCCTGACCGTGATGCTTTCATCACAAGGGATACAAAACGGAGGATCCTCGCCTTTTAATAAATACTCATATGTATATCTCGAAAGGCCAATACGACATTGTCGCATGCCCTTTTCAAATGTGGACTGACAGCCCAAGTAGGTGTAACCGATAGTTGGTTTAATTTCATGTAATTTATTGATACCTTCTTGGGTGTCAAGCTTCTTTTGCATCATATCTCGGATGTAACATCTGATCAGAGTTTAGATATCGGTGTATGGTATACGAAGTGGCGTCAGAGATTTGTTGAGTGCTGCTTTTGCATCGGCATTGGCCATTGTGTTGCCAGTTATTCCAAAATGGCTGGGTAACCAACAGAAAATGATGTTGCATTGGCCAGTTGCATGATCATTTAACAATTCAACAATTTCAGTTACAAGTGGATGCGTAGATGACATGTTTTTCATATCCTTGAGGCAAGAAAGAGAATCTGAAAAAATATATACTGTTTATGTTTAGATTGGCTGTTGATGTATTTAAGTGCCGTTAAAATAGCATTTGCTTCTGCTGTAAAAATAGAACAGTTATCTGGTAATCGAGATGAGATAGTCCTCGATCCAATGACAGTGGCGCTGGCAACAGTGTCAACATCTTTGGATCCATCTGTAAATATAGATTTGTAAGTATCATATGTGCTTCGTTATTCATTACATTGTTGTTGATAATTTAGTTGATATGTGTCAGATTTCTCCAATTTTGTTAATGCTAGGTCAGCCTTTGGCTTCACAAACTGCCATGGTGGGGAAGAGAAAAGCTGAGTGGGGTCAATGTTTCCAAGATTTATTTGCGCAGCAGAGATATGAGATTGTATTCTTAGGTGGAATAAGAGAGAATTTTATTTGATAGAGATTTTCGTATGGAGGATTAAAAACACAATCATAAGCTGGATTGGATTTCAAAGAACGAAATTTAGATATATATTGCAAAGATAATTTAATGCGACATTGTTTAACGGACGGCTCATCAGCCTCCACATACGGACTTTGTATCGACGAAGTTCGGAAGGTTCTAAGGCAAAGCCTCAGGCCTTGATGGTGAATAGAATCTAGAATTTTTATATTGCTTTTACAAGCTCCACCATAAATGATGAAGCTATAATCTAGTTTGGAGCGGATAAGAGCTCTATATAGTTGACGGAAGGTTTTCTGATGTCATCCCCACTTAGAGTTTGAGACAAATTTCACTAAGTCCAGGGCCTTCAGACATTTATTCTTCAAATATTGTCACAGTGCTGTGGCATAAATTCATCCAGACTTGATTAGTGTCGTAATAAAACCACCCTCAGTCACACTGATGTGGCATTATTCATTCAGAATTATCACTTTCTGAGGTGAATCTGCTGCTTGTTCTGATCCGGCGAGTCCCTTGTCTGACATGGCTGAGCAGGATCTTCATAAATGTAGCTGGTGTCAGATTGTGAAATCCAGGTACTCGAAACAATTTATAACATCTTTAGAAACTTGTTATTAAAAAAATAAGAAGCACTCATATATTTACAAAGGGTAAAAAGTTGTTTTCTCGAACAGTAAGGTATTGACAATTTTTCTTGCAACTGATAATCAACCAATCTTTGAACATGTAAATAAGCCATTGCAAACAGAAAAGTGTACAGAAAATACAAAAATGTATCCGGTCTTCTTAAACAATACCTGTAGAGCCACAAGGCTCACCTGAATTTCGCTCGAATGTTTGCATCACATGAAATATATGGAAGGGTAAACAAGACATTGCAAAACTAAGTAACATTATACATAAAAACAGAACTATACATAATAATCCAAACTTTCAATCACACAGGTCATGTGAGTGATCTCAAAATACACCATAATGAGCCAGTGAGTTGGTTTAGTTTTATGCGGCTTGTTAGCAATATTCCAGCAATGGGCTTCAAGCATTGTACCCATGTGGTGAATCGAGCCTGGAGTTTAAAAGAACGCTTTACCCACTAGGCTACCCTACCACACCAAATAAAAAAGAAAGTACATTAGGATTTCAGACAATAGAAATTCTCACCAAATTCATTCATTCATTTTTGGAAGCTATGTTGAAATTCAAATTTTGACAAATAAGGATGAGACTGTAGAAGTATTTATCTTAGTTATTATGGATATTTAATATCTACCATTAATTGGTAGTCCAACATTAACACTGATAAGAAATTCAGCTGAAAAGCACAACCTGAACCATCAACTAAAAACTATGAATAATACATTGAAGGGACCGATCATGTATTACCGGTACGTTCTTTCATTTTTGACACCACAATCCCTGAAAAGAAAATGCAAAGCACTTTATATTTTTTATTGTCCATTATTGCATAACCCTCCCCTAGAAACTCTCACATTTTTGGGTGACTATCCCTGTTTGTTCTGATCTCAATTCAAATATTCATGGCTAAAATCATGACCATAATTTTTATCATTTATCCCATCATGTTAAAAAATAAACTTAATGAAGATTAACAATAACAGGCAAATCTGTCAAATATTGGTCTCGCATAGTTTAAATCAATCATAATTACGGTTATAAAGTTAAACAGTATTGGATCTATCGTCTGTTTCCAAATAGAGTGAAACCCAACTTTGACTTGCGTGCCATTATTGAATGATCTACCCTACGTTCTTTATGCATTGATATGCATCTGCACAGAGTGGTCAAAGTCCTCGTCTGACACGTAGTGTGCTACAAGGGAGATATCAGTAACTGTTTGTGTCTAGGCAAATTGTCTAACAATCTCAAGGGCTGCCTTGGTTGCATCATGGGATGTAGTTAATTCTAAATAAACATAAAACAAGTGACATCATCTCTTCTACAGAACACATGATCAAAGCCTGCCGCACCGTTGATGTTTATTACCTTGCCACGCTATCAACAGCTTATTAGCAAAATGAACTCAATGTCAACACACATGTACAAGCTTGTTCACATATACCTCGACATGCTGGCATATCACACGTACAAACAATTATTAGATTGATTTTAATTGTAAAAACATCTTTTACATACAAAAACATGTGAACAGATTCTACAATGGCTTGGTCGTTATCGGTAGACGTTTTTAGCATTTCCATTTTCACTGAATCAAAGTCATAACCTTTCATGACTCAGATCAGGTTGTGGTGATTTAAGTTAACATAAAACTTGTTAATTTCAAATGACCCATCCCGCACTTGTGGCGCTTTTTATGATTTGGTTTGGTTTGTTTGTTTGACGCCGCACTCAGCAGTATTCCAGCTGTATGACGGCGTTCTGTAAATAATCGAGTCTGGACCAGACAATCCAGTGATTGACATCATCAGCATCGATCCACGCAATTGGGATCAATGACATGCATCAACCAAGTCACCGAGCCTGACCACCTAATCCCGTTAGTCAACTCTTTAGACAAGCATAGTCGCCTGTTGCGGCAAGTATTGAGTTGCTGGAGACCTATAACATTCATTACATTATGTTTGAGTGTCCAAATTACGCAATCATTAGAAATAATATATTATTGTTATACACATGAATATGATACAAGACAGCTTTATATGGTAATGTTGAAAACTATGTACAGGGAAACATTGAAATAATTCATCAATACATACATTTATGTCAGAATCTGGTATCTGTAATCAATATGGTTTTATACTTCAATTATCTACTTACAATTGAATATTTACATTATTGCTTATCAGATAGTATTGAACTAGTACTTTATAGTAATTTATACTTTTGTGTGTGTTTGATTAACATTTACATAGACAATCAGATTGTTTGCAAATCCATTATATTTTGAAATAAATATGTTCAAAACACATGTAGTAGTGCATATTATTACGAAGATGGCAATAGTTATGACATGAAAAGAAATAATGTGTAGGATCCTCAAAATGGTATCCACATGCGCAGGTAGTAGAAACATGTGGTGTTTGTTGTTTCAAGCCGCACTCAGCAAAATTCCAGCCAAAGTCCATGACACTTTTGGAGGAACATACACTCAATCAATGCAGAACTTACCAACAAAAAAAGGAAATGTATTCAATACTGTGAGATGACATTATGTGCCAAGTTTGGTTGCCATTGAAACTCGAAAAATATTATTTTTTTTAAATCCCATACTATCAAAAGGCACCATTTCATCACTAGACCTATCTATGTGCCAAGTATGGTGAAGAAATATACTACAGTTTTCAAGATCTGCTCCGGAAACGAGGACTACCGCCATTTTCAGTCTAAATCAAAGTCGTTGCCATGGAAACTCGAAAAATATATTTTTTTTAAAATCCCAAACTATCAAAAGGCACCAGTTCACCAGTAGATCTATCTATGTGCCAAGTTTGGTGAAGAAATATGGTACGGTTTTCAAGATCTGCTCTGGAAACGAGGACTACCGCCATTTTCAGTCTAAAACAGATTCGTTGCCATGGAAACTCAAAACATTTTTTTTTTATTCCCAAACTATCAAAAGGCACCAGTTCACCACTAGAGCTATCTATGTGCCACGTTTGGTGAAGAAATATGGTACGGTTTTCAAGATCTGCTCCGGAAACGAAATGTGACGGACGGACGGACGGACGGCACCTATTCCTATATCCCCCTTCCACTTCGTGATCTATAGCCTGTTTTTGTCTTGTATCGTTATGTATAGTGCTATTCTCTTTTATAATTCCGTACTAGTTTTATATCTTTTTCTGTGATGAATCTAGTAATTTTACTGTCCTTCGTTGACAGGTTTTTATACAAGTTTCAATATATGTTTTATGTTTAACTATTGATAGTCACGATATGGCTGAAATATTGCCGATGTGACTTAAAATTTAACTCACTCACAACATTGATGATAATTACATGACTTTACATTTCCTATTTCCAACAGAAATGAAGAACGAGAAATGGGGTTCCCACGTGGATTACATGATGACACTTCTTGGCTACTCAATTGGGGTGGGATGCATGTGGAGGTTTCCGTACCTGTGTGTGAGAAACGGCGGAGGTTGGTATAAAGTCTGTGGTATATGACACATTGTCGAATAACCGTGCACCAATCTGTAATATATCCATGTAAGTTTCTTGGCTGATTGATGTAAGTATTTGAAGGTATTGTCCCATTTGTTTGTAAAAGAATTCTTAACGAGCATGGGTTATGTATGTATATATATATGTTTGCATTCATATGAGAAACCTCGATTGAATGATGTAAATTGTTGGACTGTTATGACTGTAATATATATTGTCTTGAAGGAGCATTCTTGATACCGCTCATGGTATTCTTGATCATCGGCACAGTACCCTGTGTGTTTCTGGAGACTGTGATTGGTCAGTTCTCTCAGAGTGGACCAATCAACGCCTGGAACCTGTGTCCACCGTTTAAAGGTACTGTACATGTGTTTAGTTAATGTTAGACACACATATATGTGAAATTTGGGGACAAGATATTTGGGCAAGCAGTAGGCATCCCCAAGGGCACCAACTGCCCAGATAGCAGTCAGACGTTGGGCCAACGTTGGGCCAACGTTATCACTTACGTTGGGCCAACGTTGGCTATCAACGTTGGCCCAACGTCATTTTGACCGGCGGCCCAACGTTGGGCCAACGTTGGCCGAACATCGTTGGTCCAACTTTGACCCAACGTTGGGCCAACGTTTCTTTGCCAACGTTGGGCCAACGTTGACCCAACGTTGTGCCAACGATGTTCAGCCAACGTTGGCCCAACGTTGGGCCGCCGGTCAAAATGACGTTGGGCCAACGTTGATAGCCAACATTGGCCCAACGTTGATGGCCAACGTTGGATTACGTCTGTTTTATTCCTCACTATACCTCCCAGGCAGCCTGAAATGTTTGTACCAAGGTAGTTAAGACATCAGGTAGCAAGCAATACATTCTGCAAGTTAGATTCACTCTGAACTCTTTCCATCTGAACTTACGCGACACGGTGCACATTTTTGCACTAACTTGTCCTCACGATCACGACAAACTTTATGATACGGACAAGCGCGACTTTTTTGGGGGTATGCTAGTAATAGTAAGCTATATGTTTGCAAGCAATCAGAGTGACCTATATTCCTATGTGGCTTCGGGTCATGAAGTTTGTGGTGTTTTCAATTTCTGGAAAATAATTACTCGTGTTGATATTTGTGAATGAACAATGGTTGTTTTATTCTCGGGTACTGTTTGTACATCATATTAGATACTGATTAAACACTTACCTCTATATATTCGAGGAAAACAGTATTCCGATGATCGAACGTGTGCTTGTGTCTCGTCGTCTGCTCGTTGAGAGGCGCAAAAAACGCAGCGCCCTCTCTGTGAAGCTGTCAATTACGAGTAGCGCCCCTTGGAAATAATTTCCGAAATGCGACCTAACGTTGTAACAACGTTGGGCCAACGTATAAAATCCGACCGCGACACTGCCAACGTTGGGCCAACGTCTGAATGCTATCTGGGTGTGACCCTCTTCTTGCTGTGTGGTGTGAACCGGTATATCTGCTCTTATTGGCAACAGTAAATCACGTGAATTTGACGAGCAAGTTTAATTTGAGCTTCAGATATATCGATGATCTGATATCGTTCAATAATGGTCAACTTGCAAAGTCCCTTCCACTTATTTACTAGAAGTAAAAGGACCTAGCGAAACCGGCTTATTTGATTGATTTTTATGTATGACGAGAGGAGTGACTTCAATTTTCCAATAGTCAACTTCCCCTTCACATGTCGAGCAATATTTTAGGAGCTCCAGCCTTTGGTGTCTACATTTCACAACTTCTGAGGTGCAATCGTGCGTACTCTTTCTTCGAAGATTTGATAGAGCGTCAACTTACTCTTTCTCAAAATTTATTTGATTCAAGGCCCAGATGAAACTTTCTACAACTTTAACGGTAGATATGCTGAGGACATTTCCAGATGCGTTAGTGACACAAATGATATCTAATTCCATATAGTAACTTGTACCATATGATCCTGTGTGTGTTGAGGTGACCAATTGATTTGCCTTACATGTGTTTGTGATGGGTGCCAACGGAGGGTCAAGTATTTGAAACAAGTGGAATTAATACCATGTGGATTCTCAAAAACTCAAAGGATCTGCTTGACTTTTGCAATCTCAAAAAAATAATCAAGGTCAGTTCTGTCAAAACACCAGTATCCCAGTATCCCACATGACAATCTTAAAGGAAAAACTTCATTCCTCAATGGGGCTTTTTTCCAAAACTTCGTAACCACATTTACAGTCACCTATATATATATATTCAGAGGTTCAGGATAATTTGTCAAAAATGACAGCAAATGCCATCTGACGTTTACCAAGAAAACGGTATGTGAAATGCTGGACTTCCTCATTGATAACATATACATGCAGTTACGACATTTAGGCAAGAAGTCGGCATTCCCATGGGCACCAATTGTGATCCCCTTCTTGCTGATCTGTTTATTTATGCATATGGATCGGAATTTCTGCTCGGATTGGCAAAGTCAAAACAAGGTAATTTTGCCAAGAAGTTTAACTTAAGCTTCAGGTATAACGATGATCTGATATCGTTGAATAACAATTAAATAGCCAATTCCCTTCAACTGATTTACCCACCTAAACTAGAAATAAAGGTTGGTTGCAATTGGTTTGATGTTTAACGCAACACTCAGCAATATTCCAGCCGATCTGTAAACAATCGAGTCTGTGATTAATATCATGACCAATGGGATTGATGACATGCATCAACCAAGTCAGCGAGAGTGACCACCCGATCCCCGTTAGTCGCCTCTTACGACAAGCATAGTCACCTTTAACGGCAAGCATGGGTTGCTGAAGACCTATGCTACCCCGGATCTTCACGGGTCTAGAAATAAAGGAGACCAGTGGGACCGTCTCATCTGTTTCATATTAAGATCTATGCATAAAGATTGAGAGTGACCAAAAACTCCCCACAAGACTGTATGACAAGAGGGATGACTTTCCCCCTTGGAGACTGGAGTAGAATGGAAAGTGTCCTCAGTACACCACTTTGAGTGAGTGAGTGAGTATGGTTTTACGCCGCTTTAAGCAATATTCCAGCAATATCACGGCGGGGGACACCAGAAATGGGCTTCACACATTGTACCCATGTCGGGAATCGAACCCGGGTCTTCGGCGTGACGAGCGAACGCTTTAATCACTAGGCTACCCGACCGCCCCTACACCACTTTGACCCTTACTTTACATTGACGTTATGTGGTAGAATTGTCCCGATTCTATCAATCCGCTGGTCACGTAATGCCCTAGCATAGACTACATGACTTTTGAAAAATATATTATTAATGAATTTTTTTGATTTCACACTGGAATTGGTGATCAAAAGAATTGTATGCTCAATTTTAAAAAGAGTCTTATGCCAAAAAGCGGGGCTCATAGGCCAATCTGGAGATAGAGACACCCTGAGTTCTGAGTTTCTTGGGAACAGTGTTATGGGCCGAACCAGCCTGGCACATATTCTGTGTTTCTTGGGAACAGTGTTATGGGCCGAACCAGCCTTGCACATATTCTTATTGATCTCATAGCCTTTCAAGTCTATATTTTCTGGAGTATAACATCTCTGTATCCCTGATGTTTTAGGCTGGCTTCCACTGTGACATCGTTCTTGTTGACATTCGGTTGCGGATGGGGAGCTGAGGTGCTGAACCATATTATCCTACTGTGTCTCAAACAAACCCTTCTGGTTTGAGCGTCGTCATGTCATGTCACGTCAACATTCTGTCAATCTGTTGGGGTTTACAGCATAATTTGACAACCATCACAAGAGATAAATATAAATCATTAAATATTAAGGATCCTTTTAGTAGTATTAATTCTCGTTTAATCATATTTTTTTTTAAAGAAATAGAGGTGTTTGAAAAAGTTTGATTGATAGCAACTGAGATTGTTAATGGCTGAACCATCAACGGGGATTAAAGTACTATAAAGTCATTGTCCCTCTGAGAGGGTACGTAAGTTCCACATCATTCAAAGTAAATTCAGGCCTACCGCGTTGTTAATCGTAGTATTTTTGTTAGTTTTTATTGATGGCTAAAATTAAGACCAATCACCGACGGCTGAAGGGATGATGTAAATCCTGCTGGGGAACCGTGCAAAAAGCAGAGATCCCCTCGGTACCTAGTATGGTGATCTACTTCAGTTGCTGGCGATCAATAGCCGTGTTTCATCATATATTATTATGGAGAGTGCTATCCTTTGTATAATTACATACAAGTTCTAGATATTTTTCTGTGATAATTTGGGGTACGGGTGCGATTCGCTGTGCAGAGTTACGTCCATTGGGCACGCCAGAATCCTACGGTTGTGGTTTCGAATCCCGGTGTGACCACATTAACTTTCTAGGTTTGTCAGCACCATACCCGTGCTCGTGGGTTTCACCGAAGTCGTAAACGTCGGGGACCTGCATCACTTCGGCCTTTCCTCCCACATTAAGCTGACACGCCGCGATATAACTAGAATACTGTTAAAAGCGGCGTTAAACCATAGTCACTCACTCACTCACTCTGTGATAGGTCTACTGTCCTTCGTTGCAGCTTGTTATATTGTCTAAATATATCATGTTTAACTCTTGATAGTCACGATATGGCTGAAATATTGCCGATGAGACTATATATTTTAACTCACTCACTTTCCGATAGCATTTTCCTTCATGCCGAGCAATATTCTAGAAGCTGCAGCCTTTGGTGTTTATATTACACACTGTTTTAGATGCTCTTTCTACCAAGATTTCAAAGAGTGTCATACGACTCTTGCTCAATAGTTGTTTGATCAAGGTTACAACATTCAAGGCCATTCAAGTAAAGCTTTCAAAAAGGTTTATGGAGGACATGTGGACATTTCCAAATTTGACGCCTCAGTGACCAAAATTATGTCCGATGCAATTCCCTATTTTGATTTAAATCATATGTTCCCGTGTTTTTTCAGGTGAATAATTGACTTACCTGTGCATGTTTTTGTGACGGGTACCACAGGTGGGGAAGGATTTCGCGAACACCTGGTATCATTACTATTTGATTGTGATTCATAAACACATGCTCATGACATAGACGGAATCGTACTCTCGACTCTGCCTTATGCCGAGATTGCTGTTGGATAAGGAAAGGGCTTTGTCACTATATTTTCGAAATGCTGAACTTTGAAATGCTGAACTTCCTCAGTGATAACATCTGTGTAAAACTGTGCTGCCCTTCTTGTTGATCTGTTTCTTCATGTATATGAATCGGTACATGTGCTCGGATTGGCAAAGTCAAAAGAAGGTTTCACCTTATCGTTACCGTATTTTACCTACCTGAATAAAAAAATATAAGCAACCAGTGAACCACATCATCTGTTTCACATTAAGATCTGTCCATATAGACTGAGAGTGACAAAGAACTTTCCACAAAAATGTATGTCCCCCGTCGTGATATTGCTGGAATTTTGCTACTCACTCACTCACTCACTCATGCTCCTGGGCATCGTTCCACAAAGCGATCATAGCGCTACGACTGTCGTAAGCCCATGATAAAGTATGGGAGTTACGATCATCTTAGCGCTACGATGGCTTTGTGGAACGGGGCCCTGATAAAGTCGGAATTGTACAATCGACATTGCTTTTAGCAGAGGTTTCTTATGATTATGGAAATAGTTGTGTCACTTTTATTCACAACATATTTCTATCTCTGAGAAGTATATTATAAAAGATACTGGCCAGTGTGCATAACTCTCAATACGATGCGGGGCGGTCGGGTAGCCTAGTGGTTAAAGCGTTCGCTCGTCACGCCGAAGACCCGGGTTCGATTCCCGACATGGGTACAATGTGTGAAGCCCATTTCTGGTGTCCCCCGACGTGATATTCATGGAATATTGCTAAAAGCGGCGTAAAACCATACTCACTCACTCACTCAATACGATGCATGTTATCCAGGTATGGCAATGGGATCCGTCCTGATCAGCGTATTCTACAGCACCTACTATTCCGCCCTGTTTGCCTGGTTCCTCTACTACTTCTATTATTCCTTCTCTCCCATCATTCCCTGGACTCGCTGTGACAACCCATGGAACACGCCATCGTGCATATCTCACAACAACGTCGACGATGCTAACGTTACACATGATTCTGTTGCCATGACCAATGCAGCGAAGATCATTCATAACACCTCTTTCTTTACTAATGGGACCATGCATGTGACGGCGATGACATCGGCTGAAGAATTCTGGAAGTAAGCCTGAATAACGCTTTTTTGTGATACGCAATCTGGATGCTATGTATAGAAAGTGATTTTAGAAAGATTTCATAGACGTCTATTAACAGTCATGATGTGATCTTCAGATGATCTCAAACAGTAAAATCATAAGACACTCTGGTGAGATTAACCACAACTTGAACAAAGGACATTGGTTCCGTAAATTCGTAACAGTGCAGCCGTTTCAGGACAGATATAGGTCCAATTGTGCACTTTGTCATAAAAAAAACCACATGGAACTTGGCACAGTTGCAATTAATGACACTCCTTCTCTTTTCAGATATTGGTTGGTTTGTTGTTTTACGCCGCACACAGCAATATTCCAGCATATAACGGCGGTCTGTAAATAATCGAGTCTGGACTAGACAATCCAGTGATCGATATCATGAACATCAATCCACGCATTTGGGATCGATGACATCCTTCAATCAAGTCAGCGAGTCAGACCACCCGATCCCGTTAGTCGCCTCTTACGACAAGCATGGTCGCCTTTTACGGCAAGCATGGGTTGCTGAAGACCTATTCTATCACGGATGTTCACGGGTCTTTTCAGATATCGGGCCACCAATAAACAAGTTATTTCATTTCGGGATAAACAAATTATAAGCACTTACAGCAAACAGGTTCTGTGCAAACACAAGGTCAAATTTTGTCAATGATCTGCAGATGAAGAAATTGACACAAGACTCATTTTGCACATGTCAAATGGTGACTGTCTAAGACAGGGTCATGATTGTGATTGAAACAGTTGATACTAAATGTAATTGTTCTGGCCCTTCCAATGTTTGACCGAATAGAAGTGTGTCACCGCTGGGTAGCTGTTGGAACAGGCAGACAAATCAGATATTTGGCTGTTCATGTCCTTGCAACCAAAGAAAGCCTGTTGACTTCAAGTTATTCTAGCAATTACTGGTTTTGACCAGACATGGGAAACTTCAATCTCCTCGTACGTTGGCGGCTTTGTACCTGCACGTCAAAAGCGCTGCATTTCAAGCTGACCACTGTTGGGGACGAAGTCTGGAGCCCGAAACAGACCTTTCCACACCAGTGGGGATGGGGGATATTAGTAGCACATGGCTATGAGCCTTTGTGGACTACACTACTACAAGCATCTGAGTCATGGGATGTAGTTGTAAGTCTGATAGTGGGTGCAGAGCAAGGTGTGACTGTGTTGTGGCACATTTGATGAATACACCACTTTGCAAACATTTTGTCGCTAGCTAACCAAAGCATCCGTTATGTACGGCATATAATTGACACAATTTTGTTTCAAAATATATTCAAGCTGCACTTCTGCTCATTCGAGACGTCACACACATCGCGGGTTCAAATCCAGTAGTGCCCCGATTATAATCCGTTGTTTGTCACTACCATATCCGCACTCCTAGCTTCAACACAAGTTCCGCTTTGTGTTTCCATGGCAACACGTGGCGAACATTACAGTGAGCGTTCTCTACATCATCAATTAGTATTTTCTTAACCCACGAATTACCTCTATGTTGAACAGATTAAAGGTTTTACAGATTACCGACGGTCTGGAACATCTCGGTGGTATCCGGTGGCCTATATTTGGATGTCTCGTTATCACATACGTCCTGGCGTTCTTATGTCTCTTTCAAGGGATCAAGGTCTCAGGAAAGGTGAGGGCAACCATACCCTTCTTAACTAATCCACGCAACACAGAGAAAATTAAAGGGTGCTATGTATCAAGCTGGGGATTAGCCGTTTGAGAAACCTTTTATTCCCCACACACCTGTGTTTGAGAAGCCCATTTGAGATAACTGGTATCCCACTTACGTGTAAGATCGAATTCAAGATCGATATTTGGCTACTCTTACGTAATTACCAAAGGTCAGATTTTGACATTTTTTGACTGTAATTGATCAACGTCAATGTCAAAACATGTATGGTATAAGAGTGTTAATATATTTTTCTTTGAACTTATCTAGTTAACATTATCATCTTTGCACAGATAATCCACAGATAAGGCGGAATAGGAGGGGCTCTCTAAGTATAAGTAGTAAGCAATTAGCTGGATGGCGTCACGCATGATCATTCTGTTATGCAACACTGCCATCATGCAAATGGACAAAATGTGCATCGATTCGATGACACAATAGCGAAAGAACAGATTACTGCACGCGTACCTTTCTAGTTAAGGTTTTAAATGTCTGCCAGATACTCGTGTAGTATCGCTATGTACCACATGGGGTACGATTGGACATCAGGCTTTATTACTCGCCCGTAAAGAGACCCGCCCGTTTAATAAACATACAGCTGCATGAGACATTGTGGCATACAAAAGTGCATTCTTATGCACAGCGGGAACAAGTTTCACTCACAAATATTGTAAACTCCTAACATCCCTGGGCTTATTCAACGACATTGCGTATATGGATGATAGATCACTGAGAGGAGCTCACATGGCACTGTTTGGCCCGTGCAAATTGCAACAAAATTTCAGAAACTACGGCATGGGGTATTTTGACGTGATTGTAAACTTTGTGATGCGGGATCCTGTTCCACAAGGCGATCGTTGCGCAACGAGAGTCGTAAGTCTATGTTACAGCATGGGACTACGATAACTTTAGCGCTATGATAGCTTTGTGGAATGGACCCCTGAATTCTAAAGGTAGTTTGTATGGTATTACATTAATACGTGTCAATAATGCATTCACTAGCGATAAATATTTCCAATCATCATCTTTGAAGGCTCTTTTTACAAATGTCAGTATTGATTTAATGATATGTGTTTTTTTTAAAGAAATAGAATTGTGCCATGGATTTTAATTACTAAGTTCTCTATAAAAATAATTTAATATTGGTAGAATAAATTTGATAAATTAGATTTTTAGTGGTTGAACTTTCGCTCGTCAGATACAGAAACTATTCACTTTTCCGATAAAATTGGTATAATACGGGAGGTTGTTTAGTATTCTCTATGTCTTATTCTAAGGGCAGAGGCATTTACTCGGTCGAAAGAGGAATTCTGATCGAGGTTTTGAATCCTCGTAGTGCACTGATTGTCATCCGTGTTTGTCTTTACCAATTCCGTACTCCTAGTTTCAACGACATTTTTTCTGTGTTTCCATGGCAATAGGTAGTATACGTCACCGTGAGCGTTCCTTACATACTCATCACTGTCTTCCTTATCCGGGGCTGTCTACTCCCGGGATCAGCAGACGGGATATATTACTACATATACCCCAAGTTTGAGAGGCTGCTGGATCCAAAGGTGAGTATTAAAAAAAATAAGGTAACGATTTCATTATGGGGCGAAGATTTAAATACGACCTTTGAAGGTCTTGAAGGTCAAGAGTGATCCTGATGTTGGTTATGTTTAGCTATCTTAACGAGAGAGAGAGAGATCAAGTTTATATACTTTTTGTTTAATGCCAAATTTAGCGTCAAAGAGGACGAGTATTGCCGACTGGAGACCTGAGCGGCTATAAGGCATAATGACATTTATTAATTTCCAGTACTTATCCAAACACGCCTTAGTATTATGTTTTTGCTTGTTGTTTAACACCGCACTCAGCAATATTCCAGCTATATGACGGCGGTCTGTAAATAATCGAGTCTGGACCATGTTTCCAGTGACTGACATCATGATCTTGGATCCGCGCAATTGGGATACGATGACATGCATCAACCAAGTCAGCAAGCCTGACCACCCGATCCCGTTAGTCGCCTCTTACGACAAGCATAGTCGCCATTTACGGCAAGCATGGTTTGCTGAAGACCTATACTACTCCGGATCTTCACGTGTCTGGTATTATTTATGTCGAATGCATCTTATTGGCTTCTCTTGTCGCATTGTAAACTAACTGACCCGGGAAGATCGGAGTTTGAATAGTTAGAACAACCCATAAGAGGCGACTAACGGGATCGGGTGGTCCGGCTCGCTGAGCGTGTCATCAAAATCCCAATTGCCTGGATCAATCCTCATGGTATATATCATTCACTGAATTGTCTGGTCCAGACTCGATTATATACAGACCGCCGTCATAAAGCTTGAATATTGCTGAGTGGGACGTTTAACAACAAACAAACAAACAAACAATGAAAGCAAACTAAGGTTAGAGAATGTTTAATGTTTGAATTCAATTTAATTGGTGTTATCCAGTACAAATTCAATTTGCAGATTTGGATTGAGGCTTGTAACTACGCCTTGCTCACACTCGGAATTGCGTTTGGATGTCTACCAACAATGGCAGGACACAATGAATTAAACAACAATTGCTTCAGGTAGGTCATTTCTCCAGATTGTGTTTACTGATTTATTCACAGTAGTGTATGTCAGTATATAGCTTACTGGGGGCACTCAGCAATATTCCAGCTCTATGACGGCGGTCTGTAAATAATCGAGTCTGGACCAGACAATCCAGTGAATAATATCATGAGCATCGATCCACGCAATTGGGATCGATGACATGCATCAATCAAGTCAGCGAACCTGACCACCCAATCCCGTTAGTCGCCTTTTACGACAAGCATAGTCGCCTTTTATGGCAAGAATGGGTTGCTGAAGACCAATTCTTTCCTGGATCTTTACGGGACCAAGAGGAGCAACATATAGGCCACCGTGGTTTTACTACTTTTGCCGTATTTACTGATATCAGTAATTCCTATTTTGGTTCCAAAGAATAAATTTATTTGATTTTATCAAATGAACTATTTATTGATATCGCAAAATAGATTGTTTAGATATCAGTAAATGAATTTATTATATCAAGTAATGTATTTTATAATATCAACAATTGAATTTTCTTATATTTATCACAACTTGTGTGTATTACATTCGTTATAGTGTTTTGTCAATTCGTTCCGGCATATAAGTAGATATATATTTATTTGCACATCTCCTACTCTACTTGATAAATGTTTGTTACTCAATGTGTGCTGTTTTTCAGGATATCCTTCTCGATAAAAATGAAACAATAATGACCACATACGTTGTTCCTTGTGGAATTAAATCTTTTTCCTTTGTCTCCATGACTTACAATGTAAGACTCATTTTGTAATAGTTTGTGTTGATAGGTTTTGTAACATTTACATACATAAATATATTCAGATGATGTCCCTGCATGTATGTAATTGGACACTTCTTCTCTAATTTAATTGTTTTTCCTTCTAGCTATTTTGGGGATGTGGAACATAAGCTTTACAATGATTGCCTGTAAGCTCAACACAATTGACAAGTACTCTAAATCACATGATTGTAAACTATTAATGTACGTTGAAAAGAATACACATTGTAAATGCCAAAATGAAGGATCGAGTACGAATACATGACACTTTTTATGGATAACAACTTTTTACTGGTATTCTTTGTACGACGTCCCGTAAAAAAGTGTAATGTGTTTATGTTCCCCGAACTTCTTTCTGCTTATCAAAGACTTGAAGGATCGAGTAGAAGATATATTGACAGTCTTGTGAAACAGTACTACTTTATCCCTTTTAACGAAGCAGTCAAAGCCCAATTTTTACCTCTCCTGATCGTCATTATGCAACAGAGATCTTATACACAACCCCGCTCGCACGACTACTGATCTCTTCCTGTGGTACGCCAATTAGGAGAGCCATCTCCCGCAAATGCATCTTCCATGATATAACCAACTCTCATTAAGTAAATGCTTCTCGTCAGGATATCAAAACTTGAAAACATTTGAAAACGCGTTGCGCACGGGCGTCATTCGCGTGGCAGAAAGGTTCCACACGAGTGACCTACGGGGTTCACAGGGTTGCGACACGCGTTAAAGGGGAATGAACGTCTGGGCAGTAGTGTACGTCTAGTGGTCAACTGGTGCCTTTTTATAGTTTGGGATTTTATAAAAAAAATATTGTTCGAAATTTCCATGGCAACGACTTTGATCACATAGACTGAAAATGGCACTAGTGCTCGTTTCCGGAGCAGATTTTGAAAACCTACATTATTTCTTCACCAACCTCGGCACATAGATTTTTAAAGAATGTTTCCTTGGCTAGAAACTGGAATTATGCTCCGGAAACGAATCCTACACGTATTTGAGCCTAACACGGAAACCGTTTACAAATTCTACAAAAAGACCAATGTAGGCTTGTCTGAGAACCGTTAGCATGGTTTCTTAATTGAGATGTATACCACTTGACAAAAGAATACTATTCTATACATTAATTATGGTTTACGACTTCGCAACCGTCTTTGTACAAATGATGTTTAATTATTCTTTAGGTTATTTGCCTTTATTAATCAAATGCTTTAATCTCTTTTTCTTGTGTTGTGATGTGACTTATTTTTCACAAAATTGTACACGTGCACATCTCTGTGCATATAAGTCTGCATGTTTATACTTGTACATGTACAAAATTGTATATATATAATGTTATTGTATGTATATGGGCCTATGGCCAGAATACAATAAATGATGATGATGATGATGACAAAAGAACGTTGACAAGGTATATTGTGAGTTATTGTGAAAACCCAATTTACAAGTGGCACCCGAACCAGTCTACCTCCGCGCAGTGGGTCCAGCTAACATACTCTACAGGTGCTAATGCCTTGCACACAACCGAACATGTCATACTGGCGGGGGACATGATACAACAGAAAGACTGCTACAGCTCTGTCTTAACAAAATTAAGATATGGGCAAACGAAATTTGCTTCACGTTTTCTAAGTTCAAAACTTTTGTTGTAAATATATAAATATAAAAGGATCCAGATTTATTTTTAGATGGCTTCAGTATTTACCGTGATCTGACATTCTTACCACACATCAAATATCTAAAGGCAAAGTGCCTGAAGGCTCTCAACTTGTTAAAAGTCGTTTCAAGGGAGGGAAGTGGGGTCTAAACAATCTACTCAAGCTGTAGTGAAAACTGCCACGCTTGACATGTTGTGATAAGCAGCATATTAACATTGACCACAACATGCATCAAATAGATAACAAGTAGCATACAGATAATTGTATGAAGCCAAATGTACAGTAAGAATAACAAAGAGCACACGATTTGAAGAGGTCATTTAAAGACGATGGGGTATCGGCTATAGTAGACATACACATGAGTATATATAAGTATATATAAATTGGTGGTGATAATGTATTGTTAAAGATGTTCTCAACTAGTTTTGGATCGATTCTGTGATATTCTAGTTATTGTACTCTACATCGTTGACAGGTTTTGAATGTAAATGAAAATCATGAAACATTTAATGCCGAGAGAAGACGATGCTGAGGTCATCAAATTGCATGGCTCCACTGGTTGTTTTTTTGCGTTGACTTCATATTTTTCCAGTAAGGGAACTTAACAAAATAACAGATTGTGTGAATATCAAACATAACTTTGTGACTACGCAAACACAAAATCTACCATGTCTTATCTGAGAGTTGGCCTTCCTTTGGCTCACAGTCTACATGTAATATAAATATGAAACTTCTCTCGTCATGATATGGCTGAAATATTGCCGATGTGACATTAAATGTTATGTCACTCACTCATTCCACGGGGATGAAGTACTGTGAAAGTACTGAGACCATGTCTTTCAAAGTATGTCTTTCCTACCATAATGTCAATCGCAGTATATTTGTGAATATTTATTGATGGCTAAAATTGAGTATAATCGCCAGCAGCTGAAGGGATGGGGTAAATCCTGCTGGCGAACCGTGCAGATTGTATGGGTCTTTGCTGAAACTGGCAAAAAATCAAGAAATCCTTTCTGTTTTTGAAACTCCACATGATATTAATTCCGCTTGTTTCGAAAATTCTGTGAACATAAAGAAAGTCCTTTCTTGACTGTAATAAGGCTTACGATTATTCTTTGTGACAGGGATTTGGCGGTACATTTGCTGGACCGAGCAATATGTCTCTCTTTGTATGGATGTTTATGGGGATTTGGAATCCAGTACAAAACAGGAAAGGATTGTTGCCAAGTTTTATAGTCAAGTCAAAAGTTAGTACTGTTGCCTTTTTCGGCAGATTTCTACCTCAGTTTAAATACTGGCTCTATATGTGTCCTTTCACGCCCAGTGCTATCTGTTTCGGCAGATCATTGAGACAGCTTATTCCTTAGCATTGCGATTCATGTGTACATATAATTGTTATGTTATTTGAGGCCTTGTCAGTTGGATAAACTACAAACTTTTCAGGTAGGACAAGCAGATTTGAAATGACAGCTATCTTGGGCAGACTGGGCTTATTCTAATTCTGTGTCCACCTCTCCAGTTTGTGCATTCCACCAATGACATCACACACTGACTTAACCGAATTTCAGACATTCAACAGATCAATCTACTCTATAAAACATGGAGTATGATACAACGCTTATGTGTAATGCTACTCTTGTAGGGATGCTGTACTTATGGTTGGCGCCGTTGCATTGACATCTGTATACGCTGGGTTTGCCTTCTTCGCCATCATGGGTCACGTCGCTTACCTGCGGGGTGTGACTGTGGACGCGTTCCAAACCTCAGGTATTTGCGTGGATGTTACACACACACTGGTCATTTTATGGATTGATCTTGCTTTTAAATATATTGATCCACGCATTTACCCAAAATGTGCCAATGACTGTAACTTAGTATTAACGACTCAATTATATATATAGATATAAAGTTGAATTTTAACTCGTCATCAATGACAGTGAAAAGGAGAAAGAAGAACTTAACGGACTTCAGCTGGTGGTAACTTCAGCTGGTGGTAACGTAACTGATAAAGATGAAGATGTATGATCACTTATAGCCACTAAAGCAAGCACTGCAAGTTTCTGCGTGTGTTTCGCTCGATGTTATTGGCCATCAAATGGATGCTTTTGTCTTCGTAAGTTATTGCAAGTGGGTTCATACACGATAACATTATATGCAGTAAATGGAACATTACAACTGCATATTATATCAGTTCGACATTTTCTTAATTGTAACGCTTACAGAAAGTAGTCATTTGTGTATTCTTATCAATTATCTTTTGATAATTAAACCTGTGTTTTAATTTGTCCAGGATACAACCTTGGATTCATCGTATACCCAGAAGCCGTGGCTTCCCTCCCCTTGCCTCAGTTGTGGTCTGCCTTGACCTTTTTGATGTTGATAACACTCGGAATGGACTCTCTGGTAACATGTACTTTCGCGATAATCCAACTTAGTTTAAAAAAATTGCAAAATGTTTAGACAATGGTATGAATGGCAATGGGAATTAGACGTTTGCATTTCTCTTGCATGTTAATATGAGGCTAAGTGTGCTAGAAGGCTGATTTTAGAGGTTTCAGAAAGCTTTCTTAAAATACTTGAATATAAGCAAGTCTTTTTCCAAAGCAGTAGCTGAAGCAGTACTTGCTCATGGATAGAGTGTCTGGTGAAATGGACAAAAACTGCATGTTTTTGATCATTTTAGCCATTCGTGTTTGGTTGCTCATTCCAGAAAATCAAAACTCGATGTATAAGAAAACTAAAAAAATATTGTTCTCAGGCATTTGATCAAGGCCGACAATGTTCATACCAATTTTTCCACCTAGTATTTATCGTAGTTCAAAAAGGACCTTGATTTACTTCTTCCTTGACATAATATACGAGAAAGGCATGGGCACCTCATGGAAGGAGAATCTCTGATGAAAATCCAAGGATATGGTGTAGGTGTTTGTTTTCCTTTTTCATTACGAATATATTTTATGTTTGGAGTCAAAATTAGATAAATGATAACATATAAGCTGCTATATTTAGAATACTACCAAATGATTAGATATAAGGGATCAGACAAAATTGTGGTGACATGTTGGAATACTATTTCTGAACAGGTACCATGCTTTGAAATCGCAGTAACAGCAGTGTCAGATCACTTCCCCAGCCTAGCACGCCGACGTTGGTTGGTTATCATCATTGTCCTGGTCCCTTGCTGCCTCCTCGGCCTACTTTACACGTCACAGGTGAATATCGCAAAATATCACAAAATAATTAATGTCTTTCCTATACCCCAGACCCGTTAAGGTCCGGGGTAGAATAGGTCTTCAGCAACCCATTCTTGCCATAAAAGGCGACTATGCTTGTCGTAAAAGGCGACTAACGGGATCGGGTGGTCAGGCTCGCTGACTTGGTTGATGCATGTCATCGATCCCAATTGCGTGGATCGATGCTCATGATATTAGCTGGCATATTGCTGAGTGTGGCGTTAAACAACAAAACAACCAACCAACCCTTTTGCGACCAATGGAATCTGTTTCTGTTGACACCACATGCCGACACCACATATACTTACCACGTGTATGGTGAAATATGTTTTCGATAATGGTTTGGTTTCAGGAACAGGAGACATTACGCATCAATCAAATGTTCCAATTGTACTTGTGTATGCTTTTTGGGGTTGAGTGAACGAGTTCATTGGGTGGAAAAAGTTCATTTGATATTAAATGTCATACAATAAAAAAATGCACATTTACACACGCACACTTAAGCATAATGTAGGTCTTGTACGTAGATATAACAAGTATGTTTCAAACTTCTGACATTCTGTCTTTGCAATAACATTGTAGTGAAGTGCTGCACAGATGGACTGTGACATATAGAGCTCAGAACTTTACACTGATTTGAGTTGGTTCGCATGAGTGAGTGAGTGAGTGAGTATGGTTTTACGCCGCTTTTAGCAATATTCCAGCAATATCACGGCGGGGGACACCAGAATTGGGCTTCACACATTGTACCAATGTCGGGAATCGAACCCGGGTCTTCGGCGTGACGAGCGAACGCTTTAACCACTAGGCTACACGACCACCCCTGGTTCGCATGAGTAGTTATAACTATATATCCTTTACCCTCTATGCGAGGCCTCGTTTAGAACATTACTAACTTGTCTTGCTGGTTTACTTCATGCTTGTTCGCGGTACCTATAAGTTACATTTTTCTTGCTGTCATAATGTTGAAACTGTATCACGGCAGGGGGGCATGTACATGCTTACACTGGTGGACTGGTATGCGTTCTTCCCCTCAGTAGCAGTTTTTGGCATGTTGGAATGCTTCGTTGTCAGCTGGATCTATGGTAAGCATCTTGTTTCAAACGGGAGACAGGCAATCCTCGAAAAGAGGGATAGCATGAACAAAATAACTTCAAACTACACTATCCAATACGTGTCCTAGGAGCTAATTGAATAAGACAGTTATGTCGCAGCTGACCGCCTGATCTCATTGGACTATCTCTGACTACAACCATAGTGGTGCAGTTTTATGGGAATACGTTGTCGCGAAATCCGTGTAGTTCTGAATTTAGGATATGCATGTGCCACTTGGTACAAAGGAAGACAACTCTCAGTTGAGTGTGAGCGAGTGAGTTAAACATTTAAAGTCACATCGACAATATTTCAGCCATGTCGTGAGGAGAAACAAATTACAGATTAATAATAAATATATCTAGACTGTGATGCAAAGGAAGGCCAACTCTCAGATATGTCATGGTAGATTTTGTTTCAGCGTATTCACAATCTGTTATTTTGTTAATGTTCCTGACTGGAAACATCAAGAGTTGACCTCAGCATCGTCCTCTATCAGCATTAAATGTTTGTTGATTTGCATTTACATTCATTGGGAAAGCATTGCAGGTCAAGAGGATGTACACCTGAATCCCTCAAGGAATAGCGAGTTGTTTGTTTGTTGTAGGCACACACAGAATGGAGAAGGTCATTAACTTAATGTGGGGGAAGACTGTTCCTTGGGTCCTGACCTTCTGCATGAAATTTGTCAGCCCAGGACTCCTCTTGGTAGGTAACAGTGGTCCATGCTGGTATAAAGGTTTGCTATAACGGTGACAGTGTTGGTTCATAGGTGACAGGGGGCGGTCGGGTAGTCTAGTGGTTGAAGCGTTCGCTCATCACGCTGAAGACCCAGGCTCGATTCCCGACATGGGTACAATGTGTGAAGACCATTTCTGGTGTCCCCCGCCATGATTTAGCTGGAATATTGCTAAAAGCAGCGTAAACCCATACGCACTCACTCACTCAAAGGTGACAGATGTACATATATAATAGGAGACACAGATGTACCATGCAAAGATTGATACACTGATCACAGCTTTGCTACATTTTTATGACAGATGTGTAGCATGTACCTTTTCGTAAATAAGTGACAGAGGTGTAACAGTTGACAGCGATGTAGCATGCCCATAAAGGTATTAAGGTGACTCTATGCTTGGATAGAGGGAATAGTGGTGTGTGACAGCTATGCATGTCTCTATATTGGTGATATCGATGTACCGTGCAAATGTTAATATGTTCCCTGTTTTGCACATAGAAGATAGTTTTGTGGCATATCATGTTTCGAATGTACAGAGGTGTGACACATGAATATTGGTATAGGCGACAGGAGTGTAGTAAAATGTCCACAGCGGTCTCACATCATAGTGTTGATATAAAGGTGCCAGCGATGTCATTTAGCTGGAATATTACTGAGTGCGGCGTTAAACAACAAACCAAACCAAACCAAAAATCATACACTTGTCACCGTTATTTTGCTCTTTACGCCCAATGGAATCAGTATTGTCGGATATTCTCTGACGTAGAAGTTTTACTCATACTTAACACTAAACTAAAATCTATCCATGAATATATGAGGGCATTACAACAGGCAAGGGTGCCCCTTCCCATGCTGCCATAAACACCAGGGCAGCGACGTTGGGTTCCGGCGCTTCTAACATTTGATCCAAAACGCACCAGGCACAACATGTCTTGTGATGATCATACTTAGCTTGCAGCTGATCCAGTGAGATTCCTTCAAGAATTTGTGACTATGAGTGAAACCAAGGTTCACCATGTCCTAGTCAAAATAGGGGCGGTCGGGTAGCCTAGTGGTTAAAGTGTTCGCTCCTCACGCCGAAGACCCGGGTTCGATTCCCGACATGGGTACAATGTGTGAAGCCCCTTTCTGGTGTCCCCCGCCGTGATATTGCTGGAATACTGCTAAAAGCGGCGTAAAACCATACTCACTCACTCACCTAGTCAAAATAACAAACAATACAGGGGAATCATTTGATATAACCACCAACAGAGAAGGTAAAAACTGTCCCATCGGTTGGAAAGGTAATGACATTAACGTTCTTGGAGGCCAAGGGTGTCATCATGGTGGATTTTCTTCCTAAAGGCCAGAGGACAAACGAAACATATTATGATGCCGTTGGAGGCAATGACGGTATGAAATTATGACATTAAACTACGGAAGCTGGGAAAAGGTGTGCTCTTTCACAAGGACAAAGTGTCACTGCATAAATCAGTCACTGCCATGACTACAATTCCGTACCCACTGTTTTCTCCAGATCAGGCCCCGTCAGACTTCCATCTGTCTCAAACATGACGAAAGTTCAAGAGAAAGACTTCAACGAAACCGGATTACGTAAAAACGTATCGATGTTGAAGGGGACTAAGTTGAAAAATAGAAATATTTAATGTCTTCAGCTCGTTTTTCTATTTAGGCTCAGAATGTAACATTCAACCCTCGTATATGCATTGTATATCTAAACAATAATATTTGAATTTCATCTGTTGCATTTTAACCTCGAATCAAAGTGCACAGTACATCACAACAATTGTTTCTTCATCCCGGTACCACCCTCCTTACAGATCATCTTCTGCTATTCCCTGTACTCGTACCGACCCCCGAAATACGGAGACTACATCTACCCCGCCTGGGCCACAGGACTTGGATGGATGATATCATTTGCTTCAGTCTTACCTCTGCCTGTTGTCTTCATCTGGACAGTGTACAAAACAGAGGGAAATACAGTCGGAGAGGTAACGTTATTGTGCGCTTTATGTACGTTGCAACCTTGTTAATGACAAAAATGTCCAGATTGAATGTTAACATGTTCAACTCCTCTTCAATGACAATAGTACAATTGGATCACCAATAGTATATGATTGTCATGATTTTATGAAGTCCGAATGTTAGAGATTGTACTTGGACAGCCTGGGAATAATACATTTTATTTTGTTTCTGTTTCCAGAAATTAAAGAAGTCGCTGGAACCCGACACACACTGGGAACTTTCTTCGTCGTTTGCAGATACAGTTAATGAGAACACCCTGGAACTAATCATTTAATTTAATTTAATCATCGGGAAGTTTATGCAACAACGACTCCCAAATACCTTCTCAAAGACAATATTTGAACTGAAGATGAACGTGTTACTTGTCGTTATAAGGCTGAAATTATGCCGACGCGACGTTAAATTTTAACTCACTCACTACAGAGTGTTACCCCACTGTTTTAGATATTATATGTATTTGATCACCATTAACTTCACCCGAAGACACGGATGGTTATCATAAAGCTTATGTTCTTATTTCACAATCAACTATATAAGGGTGGTTGGGTAGCCTAGTGGTTACAGCATGTATGGTGTCGCCCGCGTGATATTGCAGGAATATTACTTAAAGCGGTGTAAAACCTCACTCACTCACTCAATCACTCAACTATAGCCCTTGACAATGAAGTCACGTTCGGGGACTATTTACCTTTAGGATAATGTGATAATAAGCTGCATATACGTAGTTCCTGACACAAGAACAAATCATTTGAACATATAAAGGATATATTTAAAGTTGAGCTTATGCATGTGGTAGACACATTTGATATTAAACTGACAACAAGCACTCTTTTCCTATCAACTGTTATGAGAGTATTTTATGAATGCTTCTACTACTATTTCACTAAGTTATTTTTTAACTTCCTCTGCTTCTTTGAGTGAGTTGGGTTTAACGCCGCTTTTAACATTATTCCAGTTATATCACGGCGTGTCAGCTTAATGTGAGAGGAAAGCCCGAAGTGATGCAGGTCTAAGACGTTTACTACTTCGCTGAAACCCACGAGCACATGTATGGTGCTGACAAACCTAGAAACATAATTGGGGCGAACCGGGATTCGAACCCAAAAATCATAGGTTTCTGGCATGCCCAAGGGACGCAACTCTGCACAGCGAATCGCGGCGCCTTAGACGACTGGGCCACCCGTGCCCCCTCTGCTTCTTTGAAAATAATATGTACAATGGTTACTTTGGAGAGGAGGTTGGTGCGAAGGCTGTTTTCCTCTCACTAAAATGAACTGCTGACCATGGTCACGTTGAAATTCTCTCAGTGACTACAATTTATTTTTTTGTAACCAGAGACATATAGAACATGTGTGACTATGATATTAATTTGCCACTCGCCATACCATTGACACACTAAAAGCGTTGTTCAGATTTCTTTGCTTCTTGTTGTTGTTGCTTAACATCGTTCTCAGTAATATTTCAGCAATAATGACGATAAATATTGTCTGGTGAACTCAAGACCAGTTATAAATCGCACAACAAAATCAGCCGTGAACATTCTCAATATCGAACTTGGAACGCTTCTGATTAGGCGTCAGAAGCATCTTGTAACTTTTTCATGCCTACTTCATTCCTCCGTTTTGTGATGTGTGGTGAGTCATCGATCATCCATAATATACCACAATGTCACAATCTTACGGAAGCCTTTTAGGGCCATTTGTTTTTTAAATTTTTTCGATACTATCTTGAAATTTCAAGATACTAAGTTGAAATTTCAAGATACTATATTGAAATTTCAAGATAATAAGTTTTTAACATCCTAAGATGTAAAAATACGTTTGAAGTGAATCTGAAAGTAATCGAGTCTGGACAAGACAATCCAGTGATTGACATCATGAGCGTGAGTATGGGGATACGATGACATGTATCAACCAAGTCAGCGAGCCTGACCACCCGATCCCGTTAGTCGCCTTTTACGACAAGCATAGTCGCCTTTTACGGCAAGCATGGGTTGCTGAAGACCTGTTCTACCCATGATCTTCACGGGTATGCGGCGGTATGTAAATAAACGAGTCTTGGCCAGACAACTGTAAATGTGGAATTAGTGAACGAAAAATGGATCCGAATGAGTATTACATTTGCTTCCTAATGTGCGGTGTTGGCATTATATTCCTAATAAATTTTTTTTTCTATTTGTAATAGTTTTCTGAAACTTTTGTGGGTCATACACTCATTTCTATTTTATTAAAACAATTGTTTGTAGCATATCACTTATTGGTCTAGCAGTTCTTAACATTTGTTAGATGTTGAGTTTTAGTTTCATTTTAACCCAGAAATGCGTGACATTTCTGAGAATGTTTTCCGCCATTATGAGAGTGAGTATAGTTTTACGCCGCTTTCAGCATTATTCAAGCAATATCACGGCGGGGACACCAGAAATGGGCTTCACAAATTGTACCCATGTGGGGAATCAACCCCCCCCCCCCCCCCCCCCCCCGATCAGCACAAGTGAAATGCGGCTTGACCTACTGTTTGTTTACCTTTACAAGACATTGTTCATCAAACTCATTATGTTTTTGGTTTGGTTTGGTTTGTAGTTTAACGCCGCACTCAGCAATATTCCAGCTATATGACGGCGGTCATTATGTAAGGGAGGTAATCGCACTGTAGTCAAAAACATGGTTTAAGATGTAAATCAAGAATTAACTTGAAACAAATGTTGTTCATAATATTTTAAATATGCCTGTGTTGATGACATATTTTGAGGAAAGTTTATGGTTGTAAATATAATTTCGTAGTTCACCTGTGCAGATTTCAATTTCTTCACCTGCTCGTAAAGAAAGATGACCATTCCATATCAAAATCACCTTGAGGACAATCAATTGTTTTCATCTTGCAAATGACAAAAAACCCACAAGAACCAAAGTATTTCTTTATTTAAAAGCCAGCTAAAAATGTTACAAGACCCAGCCTAAATATTAAATTAATAACAATAATGATTCATACAGAGATTAAAATGAAAAATAAAATAGAAAAACAAAATAATTGTAAACACTGAGAATTTCACCAAAAAAATATTTTCGGCCTATTCACAGGTGTTAACTCCAAACATCAAACATCTGTAATCATCCTAACATAGATTACTGAAAATTGTATTTTTAAATACAGCTGTCGTCATCAGTCGTGACAACACTATTAACAACGCATATCTTTGTAACTTTATGTTTTAACATTAAAACAATTTACAAACTATATTTTACAACACTACTATTATCTTACTTGTGAAATAGCGATTGATTCATTGTAATATATTCATTTAGAATTAAACATCTGAATAGCTCCCGCAGAAAGGTAAAACGAAATTAACGAGACATGTAAAAAATATCTATTCCTATAATCACCATCAATTCCTTATTTTCCGTCATCCTCTTGTCTGCGGGGGCGGTCGGGTAGCCTAGTGGTTAAAGCGTTCGCTCGTCACGCCGAAGACCCCGGTTCAATTCCCGACATGGGTACAATGTGTGAAGCCCATTTCTGGTGTTCCTCGCTGTGATATTGCTGGAATATTGCGAAAAGCAGCGTAACACTATACTCACTCACTCTTGTCTGCGTAAGTATGGCGTCAATATCATTTTCAAAAGAACTAATATTCATATTTAAATGCCATGCACTAACTGAAGTGCTTTGACACAACGCACATGGCGTAAGCTGTACAACATTTTTTATCTGGGATTACGTGACCCGGAAATCATGTAAATATCTTAGGAGAGGGCGACCTGTGTTGTGAAAACTTGTACCCAATCCTTTTCCTTGTGAATAAAATACGTTTCAATAAATAACAAGTGCTCTGACCCAACTAATCTAACACTGAATTCTCTTACAATTGTTCCTCCAAATTAGTCATGGGATGAGCAAAGTCCTCCTGTGTGTCACGACCAGATGCTTCACGCCAGTTCTTGTTTGGTTCCAACGATGTCAGGAATTTCTGAAACATAAGTTCAGGGCGCCATTGAGTAACACTTTGTACACTTTGTCATTTGGAACTGATGCGACTTACTTGGAAATGTCATTTACATGAATGTCCACTATAAAACATTTTGGAGACCTTTACTGAGGCTTTGAATTAACTCTGAGCAAGCAACGTTTGAGGAAGAGTCGTATGACGGTCTTTGTAATCTCCGTAGAAAGAGCAGGTCCGATCGTACCTCAAAAGTTGTGAAATAAAGACACTGGAACTCTGAAATATTGCTCGACATAAAGAGAACGTTGATGCGAAACTAAAAGAAGTTCTTAAAGGATAAAGAGATTTAGATGAGCAGCAACCTCTTTAACGGTATTTCCATGTGACCGCCATACTCTCCACACAAAGACAGCCGGAAAGGGCAGAATAGAAGCCAGAGACACCATCCATCCGATTCCTGTGGCCCATGGAGGGTAGTCATAGTCTCCATACTTGGGAGGGCGGTAGGAATACAGGGAGTAGCAGAAAACACACTGTTGTAGAGAATGGCATGGTAAGATAAAAATGAAGAACTGATCATGAATCTATGAGATCTTTTGTTTTTTGTTTGTTGTTTAACGCCGCACTCAGCAATATTTCAACTATAATCTCCGAGTCCTAATGGTTATCTTGTACATGAAACGATAATTAGTCATAAACATAAAGTGATACTGTGACCTTAGAGCTGTTTTGGTTATTTATAAATTACGTTTTTATGCTGAAAATCATTACATAGAGGATTCATCACGAGTGTTTTTTAATATGGGAAATATCAACCGAGTCTTAGTTAATCGGTATTTGCCGAGCCTTTGGCGAGGCAAATACCGATTAACGGGACGAGGTTGATATTTCCCATATTAAAAAACACGAGTGATGAATTCTATTTATCATTTTCACATTTTTGCTTCCAAATTAAGGAATAATTGCATTTAACATGAACATCAGCAACTTGTCGAAATCTAACGTATAGATCGTGCGTAGTGATACATGTTTTCCATAGCCATGTAAACCAAAATAAACAATTCGCTGAGAAAAAAAGTTCCTCGAATTATTTTAAACAAAATACTTGAACAGACTTTTGCAGAATAATTGAAACTTTAAAAACAGTAACAACAACGATTCTGTGTAATCTGATTATATCTCTGGTGTAACTTCACTTATAATATATAGTTTCAAATCAAACTGCTCGCTCTTCCGGTTATCTAATTTGCATATCTAATTTGCATACTTATGTCATTGGGGTATGACATACATGTTTTTATGTCATAAGCTTATGTCATGGATAAATGCTTAAGTTAAATGAAAAATCTATTTAAAACACATGCATATGTGCCGTAAAACAGTACCATTAATTTGAACCGTATTTTCTTAAACATTGACAAGAGTTACTTCTTTCTTGGTCACGAGGCACGTTTTGAAGTAAATACCACATATTTATACTCAACCAAAACAATTGCCAGAATGTTGACATCTTTTGATAGTAGAGGGCATCGGTGGTAGCTTTTGCTTACAGACGCTGGGCATTATATAGTACATGTAAGTTAGATAAAAATAAATAAAAGTTGCTAGTCAATCTTTCGGCCATATGTCATTTCCAATGTAGTTTACATTCTCAAAAAGCCAAACATTTTTACTTGACCAAATACATTAGCTAAAGTAGAGACACGCATATTTTTCAGGTTTGGCTAAGTGGGTTCCCAGCTCAAGTCGATGTTTGAAGAAACATGTCCTCTTCGTAGTGTTTATATTTGTGTTGCAGTAGTTCCGCTGCATCTTATTGGAATATGATTCCAGGTTTATCAGCACCATGCCCTGTCTCATGGTGAACGTCTGCACCAATTAGGCTTTTACTCCCACACTACACATCCGTGCCATAATACGACTTCCAACTGAAATACCTTTCATGTTTGAGTGTTTAGCCATATTTGTGCCTGTGCCTGTGCTAAATTTCCTGCGTCTTGTCGGTCATGATAATATATCCTAAGGGGGGCACGGGTGGCCCAGTTGTCTAAGGCGCCGCGATTCGCTGTGCAGAGTTGCGTCCCTTGGGCACGCCAGAAACCTATAATTGTGGGTTCGAATCCCGGTTCGCCCCGATTATGTTTCTAGGTTTGTCAGCTCCATACCCGTGCTCGTGGGTTTCACCGAAGTGGTAAACGTCGGAGACCTGCATCACTTCGGGCTTTCCTCCCACATTAAGCTGCCACGCCGTGATGTAACTGGAATACTGTTAAATCATAAGACCGTAGGTTCTATACTTTTACAAATATGGTTAATCACCTACCACCAACAACATCGGACACACACATTTGATGGCTATCATCATAATCCGCGGGATAGACTTCCCCCACATCGACTTGATGTCGCGTTGTAGTCTGTCCGTACCTTAAATGGAATGGGTTGCAGTGATTTATTGATATGCAGATGATCAGTGTTACAGCAATATACAAACATACTGACTGAAACACATCCATGCCACACGTACTTTCTGCAAGATATCGTTACTGAACCAGCAGGGAGAAAGGAAACAATTTGACTGAACATGTCACTTTTCATGTCATCTTTCATACGTGCATTAATCGCTCCCAACTATGATGCCTTATATTCTGGGTGAAACAATTGCATAGCAAATATTTGGACTTGCTGTGTGTTACACTAGCACACGAAGCAAATGGTTGACAGTCCATTGTATAAGTGATGCATCTGTAGTATCAAATGTTTACCATAGCACCATCCAACCACGATGCATTCAAGTGTAGAGAAGAGGACATTCGACGGGAAGTAGGCGAACCAGTCCACGAGAGTCAACACGTACATCCCGCCCTAGAAGTCATAATATGAGATGTTTGGCAAACTGAAAACACTCTCAATGGGCGTGTTTTTTAATGTTTGTTGTACTTTTTTCACGCAAAAGTTGTCGCCTTTAGACATTGAGGACAGTGATAGAATTTTGTCAACTTTAATGTCAACCAATGCGCCCCTGCCTTGATGCATTCTAATGGCATTCACGTTTTCATGAAGTTGACAAGCAACGTGGAAATGCTAGTTCGCCAGCCTAATTATATAAGCCACGATTCAGAAATACAAGCTGCGCCTATGTTGCAGAACGACTGTCACCTGTGTTATGTAGTTGAGACCAAAGGCGAAGTTGGTTGAAAGTAATACAGCGATGACAAGCCAGCGCCGTCGTGATAGCTGTGGAAACCGGTCTCTTAAAGCTGCCACTACGTTCTCAATCGGCGGAACCTGGAACACATTTATACATTAAGTCCTAGAAGACTTATGAAACTTACCGATACTTTTCAGGTCAACTTTCAGGTATGTATTTCTTTCTTCAAACAAATATATTTTTGTACAGCGCAATGAAAAATCATGTGCAGATCTAAACAAATTCCAGCAATACGAAAACATGCAAAATTAACTAAAATTGTTTTAAATGTATGTAGAGACATTGATACGTACAAAGTGTGGCAAAATACACCCAGCATGGTCACTCACGGTATTGAAAACATCAATATCTCCGGAAGTGTAATCGATTATGTTATGAGAAGCATGTGGTTTAGAAGGACGTCTTAAATCTCGACTTATTGTTGGGGGCAGGGTTAACTCTGCTCTGGCTATATGTTAATTACCCCCATGACGTCAGTCACACAAACTATTAAATCTGTATTTACCAGAGTATCAAGTTCAAGGGTGATCAGCGTCAGAAACGTCAAGGCAGACCACAACTGCGGCAAGGGGAGGTAATTCAAAACTTGCGGAAAGACGATAAAGGCAAGATTGAATCCTGAAATGAAGAACACTTGATTCTGGTCCTTATTGTGAATTACATTTTTTAACAGGAACATTAACATCAGATAATGTTTAAAAGAAATATTGTAGATCCCCTTAATATATACCACTACCTTTCAGATGTCATCATAACATAGAGGGGCACGGGGGGCCCAGTCGTCTAAGGCGCCGCGATTCGCTGTGCAGAGTTGCGTCCCTTGGGCACGCCAGAAACCTATGATTGAGGGTTCGAATCCCGGTTCGCCCCGATTATTTTTCTTGGTTTGTCAGCACCATACCATACCTGTGCTCGTGGGTTTCACCGAAGTGGTAAACGTCCGAAACCTTCATCACTTCGGGCTTTCCTCCCAAATTAAGCTGACCCGCCTTGATATAACTTGAATACTGTTGAAAGTGGCGTTAAACCCAACTTACTCACTCACGATAGGAACACACGAAAGCACTGACTTGATATCTACCTGAAGATTCAAATGCTTCCACAGTTACCCCTCTCTGGTAGGCAACATGGCCGATGATGGCAAAGAAGGCAAATCCAATGAGAAGTGTAACTAGCATGTCTCCAATGCAGACAATTATGGAATCTCTAGACTCGAAGAAAAATGAAGTAACAAATATTATCAACAGACAATGTTGCTAGCGACAATGTCATTAGAGTGAGTGCGTGAATATGTTGTTTTTTTGCCGTTTTTAGCAATATTCCAGCAATATCACGGTGGGAGATACCAGAAATGGTGCCAATATAGGGAATCGAACCTGGGTCTTCGGCATGATGTGCGAACGCTTCAGCCACAAGGCAACCCCGTCGCCCCTCAAATTATTAGAGTCTTACCTATACCTATTATGTGGCATAGAGTAATCTAAATCAAGAAACGTGTATTAAATGGCACCACCACAAACACAGCTGTCTGATAATGGTATTTTCTTTCAACACTACAGCTCTTTACTGACTTATTATCACTTATATCCATCAAAAACGTGTACATATGCAAATGTCTAATAATATCAGTACTCTATTCTAACATTAATACTTCTAAAACAGTTGTCTCATAAGCTAACATTTTGAAATTGTCTTTATGGAAATATTGCTCTCTGCAGCTGATGGTAGAGACGATTCATAGACAATACAGACGTGTTAAGAAATCAAATATAGTTTACAGAAATTAATCAGTTGAAATTAAACATTAGTTAGATGTTTTCAGTCTTAAACCAGATAGTCACACATGACATACATATTAATGGTCATTCCTCTCGCCTTACCTGAAACAGTTGTTTCGAAATTTACTGTGACTGGACAAAGTCACGATGGACCCCATGCCGAGACCAAGAGAATAAAGAGCGAAATTACATCCTTCAATCCACACCTGCGGGTCAAAGAACGTGTGTATTCCTTATAATAATATCACATTGTTTTTCCATTAAAATACAACATGATAGGTGGCAGTCAGATGAAATATTCTAAAATGACATTGTACTCCTCTTGATTCCACAAAAGGAGTGGGACGTTTGTCGCCTTCACATGAAAAAGATACGGGTATGAATACGTCTGACAAATGCAAGGTTGAGTACCCCTGACTCAGATGCATGTAGGACCATGCATGACAGAGCTGGAAGTAAGAATATCCTACAGAGAGGCAAGTATGGACTCCCCTGACAGATACACAAGTGTAAAAGGCGCGCCTGGTTTGATGAACTATTACAGTATGTTCAGCTGCCAATCAGCAAGCTTGGAAACTCCTATGAAGCTCCGTTGCAGTGAGTCAGTTGGGTGTAATGCTGCTTTTAACATTATTCCAGTTATATCACGACGTGTCAGCTTAATGTGAGAGGAAAGTCCGAAGTGATGCAGGCCTCAGTTGTTTACAACTTCGGTTAAACTCACGAGCACAGGTATGGTGCTGAATAACCTAGAAACATAATAAGGGCGAACAGGGATTCGAACCAACAATCATGGGTTTGTGGCGAGCTCTGCACAGCGAATCGCGGCGCCTTAGGCGACTAGGTCACTCGTGCCCCAGGCTCCGTTGTAATAATGAGAAGAGACTATAAAAAAATAAAATATTTAACAAAATATATACTTGACAAAATTAGTGAAACAATCACAATGAAGGAAGCATTGAAATCTTACTTCAATGTAATTAAATGCGACAAAAGTCTTACCATAATCATAAGAATATAAAACCATTTAAAGTACGACAGATGAAACTGCTTACATTTCAAAGTACCTATTACTTTCTCCTGAAGTAGACTGTAAACAAACTACTAACATATAACTTGCATATATACAATTCTACTCTTACCCTGAATGTTCCTCCACCCAACCACATAACAAACAATTCCATAACCACAAATATAGGAACGTCTTGTTCAAGATACTGCAGATGCACCCATACTGATGAACTTTTCTGCCAGGAAGCCCCAATTGATAAGACCCTGAGTATTGTCGAATCAGATACTACACTAATCAAAGTTTGCTAAGGATCAAGTTTTGAAAAATATCGTCCAACAAATAAAGATTTAAATATCCCGGTACATAATGCTTGGGTTACCTCTATAGACATAATTGTGAGACAATATATCAGAGAGCACAACATTTGCTACAAAGGATTACAATAACTGAATGCCCGTATGACCCCTCAACGTCAGTGACGTCGGTTGACGACCGAAGATGCATAGGCGTGCGTGAAACTGGGTCTACAACGTCACGTTCAAACATCTTTGCTGTCAGCCATCAAATATGATCGATACCAGACGTTTGATTCAGGTACCGAGCGAGATGCACGTGGTCGAAAAAGTTCCACCACGCAGCTGGAAGACATTGTTTTCCTGATGTTATCACTTCGTGACTGCAACCACACTCAGAAAGGACCCGCGGAACGCCAGTGGCGTAAACGTTTCTTCCCAGACAGTTAGGACGTTTCTTCACATCCCACTGACCCGACATCACAGGCATACAAGTCTTATATTTTGCTATACCAGACCATGTTGCCCTTACCGTGGTAGACACATTGCTTTCCAGGGGATTTTGTCACATTGTTTGTTGTTTAACGCCTCACTCACTTACAGCAATATTCTAGCAATATGACAGCAGTCTGTAAATAATCAAGTCTGAACCAGACAATCAATGATTGACATCATGAGCATCAATCAACGCAATTGGAATACGATGGCATGCATCAACCAAGACAGCAAGCCTGACCACCCGATCTCGTTAGTCGCTTCTTGTTTTGTCAAATTGGCTGTCCACGGCATCTCCATACAATCATGGACGAGAGTTTGAATCCAATTTTTTTTAAGGACATGGATAGTTTGCTATATACAGATAAGAGCAGAAGAAACCTACATCGTGATTAATTCATTGACTAGGTGGAACGATTTAATCACCCTGTTTTGATACCCTGATACAAATACTATCCACCTAGAGCCTCTTGATTAGGGTAATTAACTTCAATACATTCTCATGGAATACAGAGCCAGTGACCATAAGATCACCAATTGTTCTCCAAACCTCATGACTACTATAGATGGTGGGTCAAAACTACAGCATGCAAGTTCGAAGGTTACTTCTTGGTAGGACTACGCTCCTCAACTGAAGTGTTTTCTCCTCAGAAACCGACTCTTCCTTTCCTTGCCTTCGATTCATAATTTCCGACTTATATGCAACATGATAACATGTCACTCACTGAACTAGAATGCTCCTGACAGAGACAAAGGTATTAATACTCCTTACAGACTCATGAATACTCCTGACACTCCGTTAGGTCCAGTGGCATCGGTAAGTGCATGTATTTGATGTTTCTTACCTGAGGTCTTGACAGGATTTCAAAGTTTGGAACGATATAGAAATATATTCCATCTGCTGATCCCGGCAGCAGACATCCCCGGATGAGGAAGATGGTCACAAGAATGCAAGGTATTGCAACCGTCACGTACACAAGCTGTGAAGCAAACACAGACATGAGGGGTAGGGTTTAGTCAGTCACCTGGACATGTGGCGTATACACTATTGTGAATCAAAGACATGGAGCCATAGCAGTCATTTTAGCAACATATTTATGTCTCGTGCAAATGTTGCCATTAATACACATGAAATGAAATGTCAACCAATATTATAGATATCACTTTCTAAACTGTCATGATTGTTGTTCTTGTTTATCGACACAAAATTACTCTGGTTTCCATGTCATATATTTGCGTCCTGAGCAGGTGGGACTTAACATTTTTCTAGGTTTACAGAATGACGAGTGACGTTCAGTGCTCCAGAACAGAGTGTGTGTGTGTGTATGCGTGTGCGTGTGCGTGTGCGTGTGCGTTTAAGGGTCAATTCGTGTGTTCTTGTTTACGCCACACTAGGAACATTCCAGCAATGTCTAGCCTGGAAATACAGGAATTGGGCTTCACTCGTTTTGGTCATGATGGGAATCGAACTCGAAGTTTCTATGTAATGATTAAAAGCCCGCGCTTTATGCTAGGCCTACCTTCCCAGTTACTTTAATTCCTCGAAATACACAAAGGAATATCAATGAGCAGGTGAAAGCCAAGCACACAAGTAGAGGCAGTCTTATAGTCCCAATGGTTTCTAAGCCATCTGTTATTTGCAGAACCTGAAATCTAAAAATAAAATTTATTACTGAATGTGGAAAGATGTTGATAATAAACTACAAACGTGAATGCGAACACATGCAAATTGAGAAGCATCCGCTTCCGCCATCTGTTGAAATTCCCAGAAACCTTTACAATCCTTTACGTATTTCCAATACTTTCAGTTTGGTGAAATGCATGCCCTATGATACAGTCCTATTCGTACAATGAAGTCTGCTTAAGAAGATTTTATGGAAAGGGTTTCACGTCTCTTATTCTACAAGCCCAGATTAATGTACATAGCCTTCCGCTGAGGAATCTATTTGGCATTTTCTTGGTAATGACATTAAAGTCAAATGACATCATTTGGGAAATACATGTAGTCGAACCGCATATTGGAACAGTTGTTGTCAAAGTTACCGAATATCGCAATAAGAATTAGATTTGTTTACCCTCACATAGTGGAGAGGAATTTTGTTTTTAGTTCAATGACGTTACGATCTGCATTTTTACTTGTACGAGATAACAGACGGTGGGAAGTCAAACAGCTAATCTATGTCGTGGTCGTAAAACGTACCCGTGGTTTAGTTTCCAGACAAGTAGTCGGAATATCTATGACCAACCTGGGTTGATTGTTTGTTATTGAACGCCGCACTCGGCAATATTCCAGCTACATTACGGCGGTCTGTACTTAATCGAGTCTGAACCAGACAATCCAGTGATGAACATCTTAAACATCTACCTATTCTAACCCGATATTCACGGGTCGAAAATAGCAAAATAATGATGTGGTCAGCAATCAACTGATTTGGTGAAGTAAAAAATTTTCATGATACATGTTTCTGATTGTAAAGTTTTGGGATACTCATAATGAGTATGTGAACACAGTAATATATTTAATGACGTATTATACGCCTATCATTGCATCTAATAATTGCAGATTAATTCTGACCATCCTCAATTATTCAGGGCATAATATCTAGTCAGACTGTCATTCTTATGTGGGCCAAATGTCACTATGATTTCTACAACTTGTCACAACTTGTTTGTAAGTGATTTCTTGTAACATTGTTTTTCATTTTCATTCAGTATGAATCGTCATTTGATCCACCAAGACAACTATTCGACCACTGTGATGGACATTACTTGGATTGGGTACCGCATGGAAGATACCTCAGTGATAGTATACCATCCTCAAATGCACTCAAATGCCAAACAAATTCCAGGATGCGACCACTGTAGTTTATACTGTGGGGTGACAATATATTTCTGAGGGGGCTTTTCATGAACTATATTATTCTGGCATTGAACTGTATAATACAAGTTTGAAAAAAATCAACTATTGTTTTCCTTTGTAGCCACAAGAGCTCGTTTGCACTATTCCGACTGTATCATGAGCATGTGTTTATGAATCAGTATTATGAGTCAAGGTGTTGGCAAAAGGTGAGCGTACTCTGCATCACCGGTCGCGACCGTCACAAACACATGCAAAGGCATGTAAATAATACAAACAAAGTGATATTTATGAAACAAGTTTATTCGTCCAGATGTTTCCCCAGAAATATTTGAAGCCCATTTGTTCATAAATGGTCATAAATACATAAATCAGATCAATTCATCTCGTACAGAGCTTTCAAATTATGTGAAGTTTGGCTATGTAGGTCGATCCCTTCTGTATGGTCAATTTCGAACTGCTGGCCAAACAGTGAAGAACTCTTGAAGAAACCATCCGATCCTTACATATATACCACCCCTAACTGTTCAAATGCGTCGTTCAAAATTGTGCATCAGTAATACTTTTGGTGTGTAAACTGAGACAAAGTTTTAACCACTTGACAATCCAAGATGGAGTCCAAATAAATGTCAATATGGCGGACAATTGTCATCTATTTATCTGTTTGTGACAGACATGAGCAACGCTGTTTTCTTGTTTTCAATTTCACGATACTCAGACTGATTTGACTACTTTGATATCATATATATATATATCATTTCAAGACAAGGACAGCCGGTGTCTTGTTACAAGGTGGCTCTTTCTACAAAGATTTCAAAGAGCGTCATAGGACTCTTGCTCAAAAGTTGTTTGATCAGGGTTATAACATTCAAGTCCTCAGTAGAGTTTTCAAAACGTTCTATGGGCGAGATGTGGAGACATTTACAAATTTTCAGGTGAACAATTGACGTGCGTTTTGTCCGTCTTTGTGACGGGTGCCATCTGTTGGGCAGGTTACGCCCACCTTTCGCGGACACCTGGTATCATCAATATTAGATGGGGATTGATTAAGACATGCAAGCTTATGACATGCTCTCGACATTCAGTAGATATTTCTTATGATTATGTATTTTAGATTTGTGAGCTTTTATTTCCACTAATTATTCCATTTATATTAGTTCATTTCTGTAATTTGGACACACTATTTTTATACTCTATAATAGAAATGCTGTGTTGAAGAAGTTGTTAGCTTAATAAATTACAAGACATTAAATATTTTTTAGTCATGGCTACAAAACAAACCACACCTTTTTTAAAACGTCACTCTGATTCATACGCGCTTCACTTTATCTACACTAAGTGCTATTGCATTTTCGACATTTTCTCTAAATTCACAAAATCTTTGAGGCTGATGTTATTGGGTTTTTTTATCCACCATCAAACTTCACGTAAATATGATGAAAACGTTTTGGTTCAACGATGTTTTGAAAAACAGTTTTTCATTTATATGTTTATTTTTGTGTGATGTTTGCGGAAAGCCCGAAGCGATGCATGTCTGATGTTTACCCCTTTCCTGAAATCCAGGACCACTCTTAAAGCAGGACAAAGAAAACAATAAAGCTACAGAACTTATTGCAACAAGCTGTCAAAGGGCAAACAAGTTACTCCCTTAAGCATAATTAGCAAAGCATACATATTGGATTTGTGGGTATTTAAACAAACACATATTGTTTAGATACGTCGATGTAGAGATGCATTCACATTTATGAATACTGTAGAAATAGTATACTCATATTAATTGTATACCCAATATGGCAGCTGTCTTGGATACTGATTCTCTCTCACACGCACTCTCACTCTCACACAATTTGACACAGTCGTACACGTTGACGCTACAGTCGCAACTAACGCATACCTCCAGAACTCCTCCGCCGCTGTCATTCCAGCAACTGTACCATTGAAGTCTGCAGTGTGGTTGGCCACGGTGTAGATGGTAACGTCTTCCGTCATGTTGAGCCCTGTCGTTGTGTTGACATCAGCATGCTGTGAGATACAGGAGGGAGTGTTCCACTCATTGCCACAGTGGGCCCAAGGTAGGGGGTTGGAGAACGACACGTAGAAGTAGTACACGAACCAACTAAAGATGACAGTGAAGTATGTTGTGTGAATCCACGTCCCTATGACTGTGCCCACGCCTACGCCTGTGTAAGTGAATTATTGTGAAACGCCAACTCGGTAACATTTCAAGCATATTGCGATGAGAACAAATTAGACATGACATGAATCATGACAGTGCCCTTAGGTGTATAACAAATTGTAGACGCCGAATTCCCAATCTGGTCAGGGTGAGTGAGTGAGTTGGGTTTAACGCCGCTTTTAACAGTATTCCAGTTATATCGCGGCGTGTCAGCTTAATGTGGGAGGAAAGCCCGAAGTGATGCAGGTCTCAGACGTTTGCCACTTCGGTGAAACCAACGAGCACGGGTATGGTGCTGACAAACCTAGAAACATTATTGGGAAGAACCGGGATTCGAACCCACAATCATAGGTTTCTGGCGTGCCAAAGGGACGCAACTCTGCACAGCGAATCGCGGCGCCTTAGACGACTGGGCCAACCGTGCCCCCCAATCTGGTCAGAGAAAGCATAGGTGTTACTGTGGATAATGAACATCAACAACAGTAATGGATCAGAGCCATTGACGACCGTTCACTAAAAGGTCAAAATCAAGAATGAATCCTCTCCCACGTGCATGGAGGAATTGCATGGTCCACGTTTCGGGTGTGTTGGGGTGTTAGGATTTGGTTCCGAAACCGGTCAATCGCTGGCAGTGATATTCCAAGCTGATCTTTCTTCTGACAACCGATCATAACAGTTACATTTCATTATCCCCTTCTTTTTTCAAAGTATAGTTTGAATTATGACACAAGTGTCAATGGATAGAGAGACAAATTCGTTTTTGGCCATGAGTAAATTCGTGTTGAAACGTTCTGCGGGTTTATACGCGAGCACTTGATATAATTATTATAACTGTTTCGTCACGATATAGCTGAAATAATGACGATGTGACATTAAATTTTACTCACTCACTCATACGCGACCATCAGCTTTGACGACATCCGTGCCAGACCCAAAGTCAATGTACTCAATAAATATTTATTGTCAAAACTGGTCTCTCAAATAAAGCTATATTATGTCATATTGCTGCACTGTTGACACAAAGCTGTATGGCGACACGTATTTGTCACGCGAGAAAATGTTTAACGACGTATATACTAGTATGTACTGTTATATGGCAGCGTATTTTATTGTTAAACAAGGATTGTAACTGTGTTACATTGTTTCTGTTGAGATTCAGTTGAAGTTCGTCGCAATGTATTTGGCCGATGATTTGTTGTCAGGAATGTAGTACTATTTAGTGTAAGCAGTGGTGAAGAAGTCATTATATTTAGAAGCTCGTATTATCTTTAAACTTCGGAAAGGCATGGAAGGATGACCAGCGTTATAGAAACCTGTGGAATATTTTGTGATGTTCTAGTGACACTGGACTGGTCAAGCACTGTGTAGGTGTTGGAACCCAGGTAGACTACAAAAGTGGAGCGGGCACGTGCCTGTCTTATCTCACATTTAAAAAGAAAAAAACGTCGTGTGGGGATATGAAATCTTACATACCGAACATACTGCAGATCACATCTATCATTCTCGGAGTGTTGAATGTTGTCATAAACACACATTTAAGATATGAAACCTATTACCTTAAGTACCAAGGAGAGAAGATTATATAATTTTGAATTTATATATAACACGTATTGCCCTTGTATATTCATTAGTATCAATCTAAAAATATCATATAATACAATTTCTCAGATTTGAACTCTGAAAATAAACGAAATGAACTTTCATTAAACATATATATTTACAATAATGTCTCATATCACTTAAAAAAAGAAGTGATGCAACCTTCCTGACGCAAAAATCCAATAACCATTAGCTTACATACCTTGGAATGCTGCTTTTGCCCCAGAGTGTCTTCCTACCTTTAAATGCTGGGCACAAATTCCAAACTTCAACTGGCCCCCTTTCAGAAAATTGTCCAATCACCATCTCCAGAAACACAACAGGCACAGTACCCATAAAGGTAAACAGGACAAACGGTATCAAGAATGACCCTTGAATCAAGAAAATAATCAGATGATAACTCATGGTGATTATAAAGTAGACATAATTAATGGATAACAACTTCTTTAATACTGCAATGGCGACGGTTCGGTATAGATCCTTATACCGCTGTCAAGCTGTTTTCCATAAATTGTGTTATCCATAATAGTTGTTGTCCATCAATTGTGTCTACTTTGTCATCTGTCAACTTCTAAGTAATCAAACAACTCATGGTGATTACTGTTTAATTTGTGACTCATTTAGGCAAATAACAAACACTGGTTAAACTGTGAGTGAACGGCAATTGAAGAAAAGTACAAAATAGTAACCTCCTCTTAGCCGTCATGTAGCTGGAATATTGCTGAGTGCGGCGTTAAACAACAAACAAAACAAAATAGTTTCTACAAATACTACTACTACTACTTCTAATGTTGCTGCTGCTACTACGTCATTTATATTGCAGATATTTCCACACAACACACAGGGGCTCAAAACGCCATTGCTGCCCCGGTCACTGGATCAATGTCCACTCAAGAATCATTCTCAGCTCTCAGGGGATCATACAACCCAAACTGCTATGATGCGAATTTCACTTGATCTTAGTAATAGAATGCACGTAAGCAAAGTACCTCCTCCATTTCTTATGCACAGGTAGGGGAATTTCACGAATGACCCGGAGCCGATTCCAAATCCAAGAAGCGTGACGACATAATCCAGGTGATGACGCCATTTTTCACGTAACATATCTGTCAAAGTAACAATTACGGTTTGCAAACTGTTCAAATTTCAATACAGATTAACTTAATGTCAACTGTTCGATAATGTTTATGACACCATTCTAAAGAAGACAAGGGACGTGGTTGTGGAAGGCCCAATGCTTGTTGTAAGAAGAGACTAATTGTATCTGACAGTGAGTCATCATGTTCTAACTATTCGACTGCTAGTATTTCCAAATTATATCTGCCTGTCCCAGTCTGGGTTATTTACAAGCCTACCTGTCATAACTGTAATGGTATATAAATTATTCGGAAACATACGTTTACGTCAATAACAGTTTATCTATTGTTTCAAACTACTGAAATTAGTATTCCCCGTCTAAAAGTACAACCTATAGCAGCAATAGGTTAGATATTCCAATCACCAAAATATCACTCCTCAAGCTCTAAATCACGGGACTTGTTCGTCTGAGAAGTTGACATTTCTAAAGCAGTGTATTGTTACCATGTGTGTATCTGACACTGCTTAGTAATGAACAGTTATGTCACAAACAATTGATGGTAAACGTAGTTATTTCACACGAATACTTTCATTCTGTAGACCCGAAAAGATCCGGCATAGAACTGGTCTTCAGCAACCCATGCTTGTCATAAGAGGCGACTAAAAAGATGCTTTTTGTAAGGAGCGACTAACGGGAACGGGTGGGCAGGCTTGCAGACTTGGCTGATGCATGTCACTGTATCCTAATTGCATAGTTCGATGCTCATGGTGGCAGTCAGTGGATTCTCTGGTTCAACCTCGATTATTTATAGACCGCTGTCCTTGAGTTGGAATATTACGTAGTGTGGCGTTAAACAACAAACAAACAAAACATATATACGGCTTGCAAACAATCTTGTGGCTGGTAGCATCAGAGCTTCAGGTGAACAAACGTGGCCAATGAAAATGTGAACAAAATTACTAACAAAGAAACAAACAAATCATTCACTTGTATCGAATACTTACTGTGAACCGTGAGTTCACTGCTGCACCGATGATGATAGAGCTATGTCCTGTGAAGACAAATATGATTGACTGAACAATATTGTGTATAATGTACGCCACTCAATGAGTGAATGCATGTCAGCTTCAAATGACGCCGGTCTGGGATTCGCGCTCAATCAATATCAATCAAAGATCAATAATGGAAAACAAACGCAGACATGTCTATTTATTAACAAGGCCTTCAGTCCATAATAATGAAATTAAATATATATTTGTCCCAGCGCATGATGTTAAAATATTAAAAGATCTAACCTAAGCTGTACCTTTGCATGTGTTTGTGATTTTGCCACCGGTGGAGCAGGATACGCTCACCTTTTCATTAACACCTAGTATTATTACTATTTGATAGTGGTTCATAAACACATGCTTATGATAAAGTCGGGATTATACAATCGACTTTGCTTTATGCAGAGTTTGCTATTGGATATGGAAAAGGTTTTGTCGCTTTATTCAGATATAGCTAGCCAACCGACAAAAACAATCATTTTTATTAGTTGGTGTATATAATCTAGATGCCAAGCCACTGAATTATGTGAAACACACCAACGCCAAGTTTTCTAACAGTTTTTCAGTCAATCATAGTCAAAACCTAACACAGCATTCAAGATACACTAATTTAAATGAAAATCATGAACACCGCTTCATGACAGTGCATTATCTACCATCGAATTAATTATACATTTTTGTTATATTTCTCATCTCATGTTCATGTATATTTATGAGCTTCAGATAGAATTTTTCTTACAATTTTGGTTATATTTCTCATTTCATTTTCATGTATATTTATGAACTTCAGATGGAATTAATTGTTCTTACACATGACTGAAAATACAGGCACAAGTGCAAACGTTTTAATAGACTAACTGTATAACGAATATCTAAGGTAAATAAAAGTGACCACACTATGTCGACAACAAACGAATTTTATCTGTACTGACCCGTAAAGATCCGGGGTAGAATAGGTCTTCAGCAACCCATGCAAAGGCGACTATGCTTGTCGTAAAAGGCGACAAACGGGATCGGGTGGTCAGGCTCGCTGACTTGGTAGATACATGTCATCGATCCCAATTGCGTGGATCGATGCTGATGATGTCAATCACTGGATTGTCTGGTACAGACTCGATTATTTTACAGACCGCCGTCATATAGCTGGAATATTGCTGAGTGCGGCGTTAAACAACAAACCAACCAACCAATCATCTGTACTTTTCTTCGGTTAGATACAGTAATTTTTGTGCCGACTTTCTGGATATCATTTATGTGAAAGTTGGGGACAGGATATTCAGGAAAACAGTAGGATACCAATTGTGCTCCTCTCCTTGCTGGTCTGTTTTGTTATGCATATGGATCGGAATTCCTGCTCGGATGGGCAAAATCAAGTCACAGGAATTTGACTAAGAAGTTTATCTTCAGCTTCTGATATCGTTCAAAATGGTCAAATATAAAGACCAGCGAAACCGACCCATCTGTGTTTTCTTATATTAAGATCTATAGATATAGATACAGATTCATAGTGAAGATAACGTATCAACAAGACAAGAAAAGAGCGATAACTTTAACTTTCCAATATTAAACTTTCAACTTATATGAATATTTAGCTCCCGCCTTTTTTGTCTACATTTCACAACTACAAATGATACAGTTATTTAAAAATAACAATGTAGCATGGCTAAAAATCCGTAAGGAACAGAGACAGTAAAAAAAGTCTTAAGTGATAATGGGGATATTCCTTTGTAGCAATGTTTGTAAAGGTTGGTTTTGGATCATTTCATTTTTAAGGTAAAGCAACAAAACCTTTTTTTTCTATGATCATCAGAAATCTCTACTACAAGCAGAGTCCATTACGTCACGCTGACAGGTCGATTATTGAAAGCATACTATATGAGGTAGAAACATATATTTTTTTTTACAAAAGTAATAATTCCTACAAATTAATTCATATCAATATTATGTTAAGTGCGTTACTCGTTGCCAGGGAGATATATGTATATGTTATAGTGAATATTACTCCAAGCACACTGAAATAGAGGAACGAAGGCCAAAGCTTGAAAAAATAACGACCTCTATTACATTTCTTTTTAATTTGGTAGAATGAATTCATAACTGAGATTGTTAGTGGCTGTAGTGGGGTTGAAGTGTCGTAAAATAATTGTCCCCCCTGATAGGGTACCTACACTACTGCCTAAACGTTCATTCCCCTAACACGCGTTGAGAACGCGTGTAACACGCATGTGACACGGGTGCTCAACGGGTTGCACACGGGTTGAGCACCCGTTGAACACGCGAGTGCAGCGCGTGTGCAACCCGTTGAGCACGCGTTGTTCAGTCGTTGCACACGCGTGTGCCATGAGTGTAACACGGGACCGGGTTTCAGTTGAAGTTGGAAAATATATCAAATGAATAGTGAGATAAATAAAAACAGTGAGATGTGAATCTTGAGTTAATGAGCGGACATTGACCTATGTTCACCAGACCATAAACACAAGGTCGGCCCGTCTTAATGGTAACCTCCCAAAACCCCTACATCCCATTTCCCCTACAGCTTAAGACAACAAAGTTCACGGTCCATGGCTATGCTAATCCCTAGTCTGTTACCTATCTCATACAATGAAACAACCCAAGAAACACGAATAGATTGAGATAAACATTTAATTACGATAACGATATTATTCAAAATTCATAATACATTATAATAAAATGTTCATTTTTCAAAATTCATGATACATTATAACAAAATGTTCATTTTTCGAAATTCATAATACATTATGATAAATTTCATCTCAAATGTTCAATTCACTCTTTATCCCGGCCTGAGGAGATGGCCAACCGCATCTGGGAACTGCATTGAGGATTTCACCTCTCTATTCAACTCGTCCTTCAGGCGGCAGAGACGGTTCTCCACCTCTCTGTACACTCTCTTCCTGCCTCTGTTCCACCTTCCTGACTACCGCCACAAATCGGTAGATGTTAGGATGTCGGTGAGGGAGACCTCGGTTGAGTTGGTTATGAAAGCCTTCCAGGTTGTTGTTCGTCATGGGACCTGTTGTACCGTGATGGTTCCACAGTGGTAGAGGGAATCGTGCTCCGTGGTCGACCCAGGTAGTGACGATGTAGTCGTTGAAGGCGACAGCTCTTGGTACATCTGGTGTGTTGTCCATTGCGTCAACCCACGTGTCCTGGATCTTGTTCTGGGGGAGTAGGGGTGCTCATAAACCGGACCTTCTGGCTATCCTCAGGGGCATGGTTATGCTCTGTAGCATTCCTCATCACGGTTCCTACTGTCGTGAGTTCTTAGTGTGAAGATAACCATCAAATGGGACTTGGGGCTTTCCTCTCTGTGACATAACAAACTCAACATTGCGAAGACCAGCCATGTTGATGTCATGTTAGTCAGTTTCAAGTATCTATATACTAAACCTAGCCATCTCAACTGTAAATCGTCTCATCTCAGTTTCTCAGTGTAATAATTGTTTCTTCCTGTTGTTATTTTTGTAATTTTTAAATATTGTCTTCTCATCATACATGCATCTTTCATTACACTTACATTAATTCTTCTTCTTTTTAAACTTTCCTTTAAGTCCCCTAATCCCCTAAAGCTCTACCCCTTTCATTTCTACTACCTCTACTCCAGACCTTAATCTCTCCTTTAGGTGAGTTCATAATGCCAGACAGGTAAAAGTTGTTTTAACTAATTGTAGGGGAACTGGGTTGTAGGGGAAATGGGATGTAGGGGTTTTGGGAGATAACCGTCTTAATTAATGTTCGGTTGCTGGACTTTTATGGCAGGAACCATTCCACGGGGGTCCAGTCTAGCCATTGTGGCTACCCGACAGTAGAACAGTAGTGAATTTAGAAGCGAGTTTATTGCTAGGGGAACCTCGAGTTGACACGATTGTCGCGAGTTGGTAAATGTTCGCCATTAATGATCATGAAGTGATTGTTTGTGGATTGCGGACATATTCGTTTTAAGTTTTGCCCACGTGAGT